AAAAAAAAAAAAGAGGAAGAGGAAGAGGAAGAAGGAAGAAGGAAGAGGAGAAGGAAAGGTACCTACTTAGTGAAAGCAACAGTTTGGGCTAGTACTAGAATCCCATTTTGATACATCTTGCTCTTGCTTGCCCTACAGAAGACAAAGAATTAGAAGTATTCTGAAGAAGAAGAAAAGAACTCTTAGTGAAGAAACATTATGCACAATAATCAAAGGTAGAAGAAACCCAAATACCCCAGATGCATGAATGGATGAACCAAATGTAGACAGACCCATTGGATAGAATATCATTCAGCCATAAAAACTACAGTCGGATTTTTCTTTGTACCATCAGCTGCCAAATAGACTCAGAAAAGTCATATTAATTATGACAGCTTCGCCTTAGCTGAGGCTTGTTGCCAAATAGCCCTTAGAACTTAAATTAGCGCATTCATTCGGCCACATGGCTTGTCACCTCTCCTCAGTTCCTCTCCAACTTCCTCCGTGTCCGGCTGGTGAAGTCCCCATCTCTCAGATTCTTCCTCCAAGTTCCCATCTCTCTCCAGAAACCCCATCTATTCTCTCCTGCCTCGCTATTGGCTATTCAGATCTTTACTAAACCAATCAAAAGGTGCCTCAGACAGAGACACATCTTCACAGTGTACAAAAAGATTGGCCCACAGCAAAAACCAGAAGGGTTTTTGGCATGCTCTAATGTAAATAGGCTTTGAAGGCATTGTGATAAGTGGGGGAAAAATCACAGATGAACAGATATGATGCGATTCTATGTATTTGCGATGCCTAGAATAGGAAAATTGAGAGAGAGAGAAAATAGAACAAAGCAGAGGTTTACCAGGCACTGAAGGAAGAGGCAATGGGGGCTTGCAGTTGAACAATGTACAGCTCCAGGAAGAGCCATGAAAAGAGCTCTGGAGATGGATTGCAACAATCTGCACAGAAGTGTGCGTGCTCCTGGTACCACTGGGAGTGCATTTCAGATGGGTCAAACTATAAACTTTATAGTGTATTTACCACACTTTTTATTTCTTCCCACGTGCATGGGTGGCCTGCCTGCAGGCCCACACAGGGCCCGATGAGGCAGAAGAGGTCGTCAAATCCTCTGGGTCTAGAGTTACAGATGGCTGTGAGTTGCTGTGGTTGCTGGAACTTAATCTGTCACCACAGTATCTTTTAAATCATTCTTTGGAAATTTACATCATGTACCCCAATCCCATTCACCTCGCAGTCCCTCCATATCTCTTCTTCATCCCTGCAGTGTCCTCTCCAAAAGACAACTCCCCTCAAATTAATTAAAAACAAAACAAACACCCACCTCACTCCTCTATCTTTCCTATCTCTCCAACACTTCTTCATTCCTCTTGGTGGCATTGGGGGCTGTGGTGTGTCACACAGTAGACCCTTTTGTCCACTCAGCCCCACCGAAAAATGTTCTGGCACCATCTTCACCAGACTCTCACCGAAACTCCTCTAGGATATTCTGCTGTTGCCCCAAGCCATGGAGATCCTGCAGCTATGGTCCCATGGGTCCAGTCCCTTCACCTGCTCCAGTAGGTCATAGACGGTGTAGATAATAGGGTGGGCCAACCCAAGGCCCGGGCTAAGTTTCTCAGTCAGGTCACTGGGATTGCCCCCCTTAGGTGAGGGGCAGAGCCAGCTCTCCTAGGCCAATGTCACCAAGGCCAGCTCTCCCATACTCATGGTGAGGGGTGAGGGCATCTCTCCCAAGTGTGGGGTGGCAGCTCTCCCATGAGGGGCAGGACCAGCTCTCCTGCTGCAACATCCATCAAGGGGCAGGGCCAGCTCTCCAAGGGCCAGTCAGGGGTGAGGCTGGCTCAGCATGGCCCTTGAATTTCAACATTTAAGGTTCCTCTGGCCCCCTGTGGCAACATGGGCCACGGACATCAACACAGACCCCAGATGCAGCAGGACCCAGACCACAGACCCAGAAGTGGGCCTCAGCAGCAGCTTAGGCCCTAATGTCACCATAGCACTGGGTGGCAGCACAGGCTACCCAGATCAGTATGACCCCTGTGGCAGCATGTCCCTCAGACACCAACATGATCTCTGGTATCTGGTCAGATCCCAGGCAACCTCATGGCCCTTGGTGGTAACAGGAATCATGGACATCAACTCAGACTCTGGCTGCTGTAGGACCTAGACATGGCTCTTGGCAGCAGCCTGGGCCCAGATGACACCATGGCCCCATGTGGCAGTGCAGACCACTCAGATTGGTATGGCCCCAATGGTGCCATGACCCTTGGACACCAACACGGCCACAGATTACAGCCTCAACTCTGGGCATGTATGTGGCCATTGGTGGCAACATGGGCCATGGACACCAACAAAGACTCCAGCTGTAGCAAACCATGGACCCAGACATGGATATCACCATGTCACCTTATGACAGCACAGGGCACTTATCAGCATAACCCTCAGACACTCACCTGGCTTCATGTGATGGTCCAGACCCTGGGTCTTTGCATGGCCTTTGGTGGTAACAGGAGCCACAGATCAACATAGACCCTGGCTGTAGTAAGGCCACAGACAAAGACACGGCCCTTAGCAGCAACTCAGTCCCAGATATCATCATGGCCCCAGGTGGCAGCACAGGTTACTCAGATCAGCATGACCCCAGGGGTGGCATGTCCCTTAGACACCAATATGGTCACAGGTGGCAGCCCAATTACCACAGTATTTTTCTTCTCTTTTCTTTTTCTTTCTTTCTTTCTTTTTTTTTGTTTGCTTTTCAAGACAAGGTTTCTCTGTGTAGCCCTAGCTGTCTTGGAGCTCATTCTATAGACCAGGCTGACTTCAAACTTACAGAGATCTGCTGCCTCTGCCTCCCAAGTGCTGGGATTAAAGGCATGTACCCATTTTATGTTTGTGATTTTCATTAGCCCCAACTCCTTTTATAAAGGAAGACTTCTGGATGTCATTATTTGTGTGAGGAAATGGTAAGTGATCACTCTACCCAGTGAGGACCCAGCAGATGTTTAACAGCTGACCCTCCAACAAGAACAATAAGTATTGCTATGCATGTATTTGCATGTAGGTATATGATAAATGTACTGGCAAAAAGTGTACCACATAATTTTAAAACTTTAAGATGCACAATACTCTTTAAATTATACATCTTCAACTGGTTTTCAAAGGATGATTTTACTAACTCTTGTCAAACTCTCAAATCTGAAGACAACATTGATTGCGACTGTATTAGTAAGGGTTCTGTAGAGTAACAGAACTTACAGAATGAGTGTGTGTGTGTGTGTGTATGTAGATATATGTATATAGGATTTATTGGAATGATTTACAGGATGTGATCCAGCTAATCTAACAATGGCTGGCTGTGAGTGTAAAATCCAAGAATCTGGAAATTGCTCAGTCCAGGAGGCCGGACATCTCAGCTAGTCTTCTGTAGACACTGGAACCCCAAAGAAGTAGGCTCTAAGGCCAGCGAAGGGATAGGCATGCTAGCAAGGCTAAGGCAAGCAGACAAAGAGCAAAAGCTTCCCTCTTCCATCCTTACATAGGCTTCCAGTGGAAGGTGTGGCCCAGATTAAAGGCTTGCCTTTCCTCCTCAAAGATCTGGATTACAAGTGGGTCTCCCTACTTCAAATTAAGCAAAAGTCCCTCTATGGCATGCCCTCCATTTTTGGAATTATTCAATTTCAGATGTAGTCAAGTTGACAACCAAAAACAACCATCACAGTGACTGATGAAAAAGTATAGTTCTGACATGAATTAGGTTAATATGTTCCTAAAATGAGAGAGACAAACGTGAAACAGCAAAGACATGCCAAGATATTGCTCTTGTTCAACAGTGTAGGCAATTTTTCAAAGTATTAAATAATTGCTTTTGAATAATAGAAGAATATTTCACAGTTCCTGGATCATCCACAGTTTAATAGTTACAGGCTTAACACAAAATTTAACCTGCATTATGAATCCTTCCATCACCCTGTTGTTATATTCAGACAATTAACAAACTATTTTAAACCCTTACTTATGTCATTTACAATTTCCATGCAAAATACTTCCAACCATAGCTGATTCCAGCCCATCAGTGTGCATCCACTGAAGGCAGGGTTAGGGAGGAACGTGCAGTTACACACCTATCACCGTCTGCTTTCTATTGCTAAAGGGTCATAACGAAAAGCTACTTGGGAAGGAAAGGGCTTATTTCAATTTACAGATTATAGTCCGCCATGAAGGGAAATCGGGGCAGGAACTCGAGGCAGGCACCTGGAGGCAGGAACCAATGCAGAGACCATGGAGGAGCTCCACTTACTGGCTCACTGTTTGCTTTCTTACACATCCCAGGACCATCCATCCAGAGAGGACATTGCCCACAGTGGGCTGGCCCTTCCACATCAACCATCTGTCAAGAAAATGCCCACAGGCTTCCCCACAGGCCAATCTGATGGGGGCATCTTCTCGGCGAGGTTCCCTCTTCCCAGATGACCCTAATTTATATCAAGTTGACAAAAAGACTAGCCTGCACATCCTAATCAGTGTTTTATTTCTGTGAAGAGACGCCCCGGTCAGGGCAACTCCTGGGGTTTGCTTATGGTTTAGAGGGTTAGTTCATTGCCATGGCTGATAGCATGGCGGCACACAGACAGACATGGGTCCTAGATATGGAGCTAAAAGTTCTGCATCTGGATCTGAAAGCACCAGGAAGACTGGCTTGGACCCCTGAAACCTCAAAACCCACACCCAGAAGGCAACACCTACTCCAACAAGGCCATGCCTCCTAACCCCTGTCAAGTAGCACTACTGCCCAGTGAGCAAGCATTCACACATATGAGCCTATGGGGGCCACTCCTATTCACACCACCACACAGCACAACATCTTTCTTTGTATGGAGTTCTGCTAAGACATGCGAACAGCCTTCAGAATACCGTGACACGGAGCTGGAACTAACATAACCACAAAGTGATGGCCTTTTAGACTCTAGTTTCTCTTTAGATTATAGAAATCTTTCTCATTTCAAAAGTGATGAGTTTTGAGTACAGTTTTTTAATATTTGTGTCATCATAAGTTTATATGCTTTAATTTTTTAAAATAGCCATATCTAACAACTTGCTTGCAAAGTTCCTAAGAATGTAATAGTTGGCTTTCACAGACCAGTGCATGTCAGGTTTGGCAAACCATGAAGCCTCAATTCTTCATGGGAATTATAACTTCTTGGAAAACTCCCACAAAGCACAGAAATTGGGAGAGTCTTGTCACATGGGCCTCACAACACCGCTCCTGCCTCTTCCTGTTTTGTCTTCTTCAGACTTGCATAGACATAGCTATTTCCGACACAGGACTCTGAGTAGCCTTACTCACAGGTTCCGCTTTCTTCTGTGTTGCTTTGAGGTCTCTTTGTGAGTCACTTTCCCCTTTTTCATTCCCATTGCATTCCTGGCTCGGCCTCCACGTGTTCATGTTCCCATTTTCCATCGACCAGCACACAGCTTTTATGTTGGCATTTTCCATGGTTGTCTCCAATCCTCCCTCTCTTCTTTTGGCACAAAGGTTTACAGGAATCCATGTCTACCAGAGGATTAGGAAATGTTAGCTAGCCCTATAATAAAATTAAAAAATTTATTAAAAATGGGACAGATCTTTAAAAGGCTGATTATAAATTTATCTCATTTCAAAGCCTCAATGATATATGGTTATCAAATACTAAATAATTCATGGACGCTTTTAAAGCAAAATATTATACAGAGCCTTTCTAAAGGAAAAATGATACTCAACAAGTAGTATAGAATCATTATCTTATGTTTGTAATGACTATAAATATAAACTAGGTGTAAATATAGCTCTCATGCAATCATGTAAACAAATGTAAAAAATCAATAACATTTTAATAGCAATATCAATTCGACCTGATGAATGCTGCTTTCAAAAGCAAGTTGCCATTATTAGTATAAGTAATATGTTGAAAAATTAGTTGATTAAGTAATGAATCAATAAACCTAAACCTCATCCATTGATGGCAATAAATGTCAGTCATGACATCTCTGTTTTCTTCACCCACACAATATTGCAACATGAATATCTTCATTGTCACACAATAAGGTTTCTTCTCCCTTAGATTCTCCCATATCTGCTACTGTTAATAAAAAAGAAAAAACCAACAAAGAATATTTGCCAGATAGTTCTTAGATGTCTTCAGTATTTAATTTATAGTTGCCTAAGGGGATTTTTAGTTTTCTTTCCTATTAACTGTTTTTTTTTTTTAATCTCTTGAGCCACCATTTTTACCTCACCATGGGAAATATCATCTTACGATTCAGAGTACAGTGTCTATCCTGGAGAAGAATCAACTTACATATCTCTTCACTTTTCTCCCACCAGGTGCTTAAGTTGCAGATGTCCTGTCATGTAAGAGAGCAACCCTGGTCCATGCTTATTAGCATCCTCTGAATTGGCTTCTTCTGTCATATGTTGCTCCCAAAGATCACGACATCACATTTCCTGCCTTCTTGTTGGGATGATCCCACTGGCCTATGCACCGGGTCCCTAAACCAGTCCAGCCCGTCTTGGAAGCAGCCAGGAAGTCTCTGTGCTTTCCTGGAATGGAAAGGGACGTAGGCGTGAACGGGTGTGGAAGAGACGCCTGCCCGCTCGGGAGCGCCCATGCTTTCACCTGCTGTACCATCACTGCACTGGCCACTGCAAAGCACTCTGGTAGGCGTCACCATCACCCTCTGTCCCGTTCCTCTAGCCCAGGCCAGTTATTTTACTGTACCCTTCTCCAAAGTCCACTTTGGTCCATCCCAGAAAGCTTCTACTCCAGCAGTTCACCTATGCACTTCCCTGCTAATCTCTCTCCTCCCTGAGTGTGAAGGATCTTTCTCTGTCTAGGGTGAAAATCACTCTTACATCATCACTCACTGTTTTGTCTCAATTGTTCATGGGCCAAAGCAGTAATACATTAGTGAATGTTTAACTCTCCAGAGGGAAACGTTTATCAGTCTTCATAGTATGAATACTTCCATGGAGTTATTTCAAGATATACACATGATGATGATACTGAATATAGAGTTTGAAAGGCATCCACAGTTTGCCAGATTTAGTCCATCACTAGACATTGAAGCCACTGGCTACTGATAGCCAAAATTCAAATTTTAGAGTCTTTTTTCTCACCCTCAAAAATCCATCTCTACAGTAGACAGTATTGTTTTTCAAGATGTTTCCTTGTTGACATTAAAAGACTTTATTTTAGAACACAAAGCCAAGAAAGTGTCTTTCTTGTTGTCATATTGGCATATAAACCCGGGCCTCATACATGGTGGGCAAGCACTCTCAGAGAGCTCCATTCCCAGACCAAAAAAAAAGTCTCTTTACCAATTCTCTCCTGAGAACTGAATATTTAAAGTCTTGTTCCTTTGTGCCGAGTGGTGAGAGAAAGCTCATGGGTTCATGAAAGCCTGGGAGGAAAAAAGAATCTTCACTCTCTCAAAACGATATCTACCATTTACTAACAACCTTTTAAAATGTAGTGTGAAATAGCAAATGTGCTACCAACAGAAGCCATACTCAGAAAGCTGTCAGACTGACATGAAATTAGAGAAAAGAGAGAGTAAGGGGTAGAGAATAGGAGAGAAGAGGGAGGGAGGGAGAGAGAGAGACCTAGTGACCAATCTCAATGGTTGCATCATGCCGCACTTGTTAAATACAATGATATTCCTTGTCTCATTTGAAGATGACGCAGACTTGATTACAGAGTCTGGAAGAAGAGGAGACCCCAATGTTCTTCTGACCAGCCCTCCAGCTATCAGCCACTAAGGGGGACTGGAGACAGGAAACATGGCTCTGATGCTCACTCCCCATATCCACTTGTCCTAGTGACTTAAAGAAATAATTTACACTAGTGCAGTGATTCTCAACCCTCCCACTACTGCGACCCTTTAATGCAGCTCCTCATGTGTGGTGACCCCAGCCTACAATTATTTTTATTGCTATTTCATAACTGTAATTTTGCTCCTGTTACAAATCCTGATGTAAGTATCTGTGTTTTCTCGTGATCTTAGGTGACCCCTGTGTGTAGATGGAAGTTTCTGTCCTGCCTGATCCTGCATCTGTTTAGTCCCAAATGAACACACTGAGGGTCATGTTAACTATAAACCATTTGGCCGATGACTCAGGTTTCTTATTGACTAAATATCTCTTAATTATTAACCCATTTCTACTAATCTGTATATCTCCACATGCCCTTGGCTTACTGGTGATTCCTGGGCCTCTTCTTCCTTGAGAGCTACATGGCATCTCTCTTATGACTCACTCTCTGTGACCTCTTCCCAGAATTCTCCTAGTCTAGTAGCCCCACCTATACTTCCTGCCTGACTATACATCCTGGCTGTCCATTGGCCAAAACAGCTTTATTCATCAACCAATAAGAGAAACAAACATATATACAGAATGATATTTCCCATCATCTCCTCTTTTCTGTCTAAACAAAAAGGAAGGTTTTAACTTTAACATAGCAAAACTATATATAACAAAGCAGTTATCAAGCAAGAACTATAGTTAGCAATATTTAATCCATTAACATTTGGCAAAATTTAAAGAAAATATTCTCTCATTTATCCTATCTTTGGGAGTCTAAAGTTTTATTTGTAACTTATATTTTATCATAACTAAGGAAAACCATAACCATAACTATCTGTCTTCAATTCCATCAAAGACCCCCAGAAGAATGATATATAAACTCTAGAACTGACAGAGACATCTTGCTGCCTGGACAGCCACCCTAAGTTTCTCTGTAACATTGGGGCATCCATCTTCAGCCCACAGGCCATAGTGTTTGGCAGACTTTTTAATGAAGTAAGAAATTTGAGGAGCTGTTATATCTTGCATTGGCAAAGTTTGTCAGTTGCTTTCTTCTGAAAAGCAGGAATCCTGAAGGACCGTCCTGTCTGCTGGCAAGTACAGCAGTCACTTTTCTTTGTAACCTGCTTGTCCAGTTTGGCCAGCGACCTTACTGTCAGCAGTTGAGGCCAATTTTGTCACATTGAAGGCAAACTCCATAACAAATTTCTGTGATGCCCATCTTCCTCTCTGATGTAACTGTGTTTCCAGGAGCAGTTGTGCCTCATTGTCATCAAAAACCCTAGTAAGCCATTTGAAATGTCATATCCTGTAGATCTTTGAAAGGTTTTGAAGAATACCTATCCATTTGAAAATATATCTCTGTATATCTAGAAAATCTAACTAACATAACTATAGATTTAACTATTATAGCTGACTATAATCGGTGTTTAATTATACATTACATTTTTTAAAGAGCTGTATGAACATAATACCTAAACAAGAGTATAAATATACATGTAACAAAACTGACCTCAAATTTTTATCAATAAACCCAAATCCATACCAATACAAAGTATTCATTTCTATATCATATTCCCTTTTTTTCTTTAGAAAGAGACTGACTGTGATCATTAAACATTTAATCAACCCTGTTTAAGTGAAAACAAGCATTCATAAACAATATTTGGGAATGTGGCATAGTTCTTTCTAAACTGCTTCCTGCTGTTTGGGGGTGCTGAAATACCATGGGGATCCTGAGAAAACCCAGAACCTTGGCAAATCCTGGCTGTAGGGATCTGTGAGACTGCGTGGTCTCAGCTGTTTGGATGTTGGATCATCTGAGTCATGGCTTCAGGGGATCTTGTTAGATCAAACCATATTAGTCTGGAAGGAATCCACAGCTTTTGATCTTCTGTAGAAACAAAAGCAGAACCTCTTTTCCAAAGTAACATGACATTAGACTTAAATTTTGGAGTCAAGGAATTTTTAAAATATATATGTTGGATTAATCCAGCAGTATTTACATGTGTCTTTTGGGGGTTATTGCTCCTTCCTCAGCAGTCAAACAACTCAGAGACAACATAATACATACAGTATCCAGACTCTGGGTATTTTCCATCTTTACATGTTTTTTTTCAAATTACTATATTTTATTTATTTATTTATTTATTTATTTAGGGTGTTTTGAGACAGGGTTTCTCTGTATATCTTTGGCTATGCTTGAACTTACTCTGTAGACCAGGCTGACTTTGAAATCACAGGGATCCACCGGCCTCTGCCTCCAGAGTACTGGGATTAAAGGTGTGTGCCACCATGTCCAGCTACACTATTTCTTTTTTAAGGACTTTCTCTGTGCTTTTTTTCTCTCTCCCAAGCCTATGTATATTTTTAAACACAATGCAAACCATTTAGAGGTTCTCTTCATGTGAATCTGTGCTTAATGTTTATCTCTATCTTTTTCTGACCACGAGTCTTTAATCTGCTAAACTGCATGGCTAGGATTAAGGTGAGGCTTTGGCTGCTGGCTCCAACCAGTTAGGCTCCAACACGGTAGGGGTACATTTACCTCCAGCTCTGGGAGCTGTGCTCACTGCCTCAACTCTGGTCTATGCTGCCATCAAGCAGCTTGTGGCACACTGCCCGTAAACCTTTTTTGTCTGTATGAGTAAAAGTTAACTCTGCCGCGCAGCATGCTGTGAGGCTTGGAGATATCCTCTGTGTACTACAGTGGTAATCCACCATGCTGTGTTCAAAACCAACTGTCATAGAGTCTGCACCATGGCCTGCATGAGATTGTGAGACTTGGAAACCCACTACAGCTCCATTTCTGTGTTCAGAACCTTTTTTTAAAAGCTTTGGTCAGGTTTTACATGGAAATTCTTGCCAAATGTTCCTGTCCCACTCACGGTCCTGCTGCTGTTTAGTCCCGAATACACACAGAGGCTCATATTAGTTATAAACTGTTTGACTGATGGCTCAGGCTTCTTACTGGCCAGCTCTCTCTTAATTATTAACCCATTTCTATTAATCTGTGTGCCGGTGATTCCTGGGCCTCTTCCTCCTCAGCAGCTACATGGCTTCTCTCTTGCTACTCACTCTCTGCGTCCTCTTCCCAGCATTCTCCTAGTCTGGTAGCCCCACCTATACTTCCTGCCTGGCTACAGCCTGCTATTGGCCAAAACAGCTTTATTCATCAACCAATGAGAGAAACATATGTCCACAGCATACAGAAGGACATCCCCCATCACCTGTGAAAGGGTCATTGACCCACAAAGGAGTCGTGACCCACAGATTGCAAACTACTGCAGTAGAGGTTTTAGAGCATTAAAATTGTAATGGGAGCCATAGCTACCATACCTGGGGCTGGGGAAGTAGGGGCAAGCTGACATTGCTGGTTCTGGAGCTGGAGGGGCACCTGGGTAAAGCTGATGTCCTTGAGGTTAGATGGTGTTGAAGAAACTGAAAAGAGAAAATTCCATCTACTGGAATCTGCTATTGCTACCAAGGTAAAGAATCACTACTGTGGCAACAATGGCAGCAAGTGCCACCTGTATGTCACCTCTCCTCCACAAGTGTCCCCCAGCATCCTCTACAGGGACCTAACCCTCCTCCACAAGTGTCCCCCAGCATCCTCTACAGGGAGACCCACCAGGGATCCCATTGGCAGAGGAGGAAATGTAGTAAGCCCCAATTCACATGTGCTAATGTTAGAACATCCCTCGCCTCACCTGTTTCCATTTCCCTGTGGATGACTGAAACAGTGTTAACCCCATAGAGCACACACATGCCTTTCTCTTGCACGCACACACACACACACACACACACAAGATTTGACCCACAAATTATGCTCACTAAAAATGACAATAAGTTAATAATAGAATAATTATGACAACACAGTGAACTAGAAGTTATATGGCAAGTGGTCTCTTTCTCGAAATATGATACTGTGTTATGTGTTCACACCCTGCATGACTGCAGGTAACTGAAAACATGGGAAGTAAAACTCTGAATGAGGCGAGGCTATTGTACAAATATCACTGGTCTAAGTGTCATGGCAGTATTTACCCGGGTGAAGTGAGCCGAGAGACAACTTAAAAACCACAGTACCAAAACTGGACCAGGGCAGGTGGGAACTGACCTGTGTGTGGCTTCCTCTGGGGAAGCGATCAGAGACTCAGGAAACTTTGTCAGAGCTCCACCCAGCCTTGCCTTGTGAATCATCCTCATTTGAGGAGATGTTCCTGTTGTTACTGAAGGTTGGGACTCACAACCATACATCCAGAGAATCATGTTATCATTCCGTGGATGAATGTAGAAGCCATCAGTACAGCAAACTGGCTTTAGCTTAGCCAACACCCCTTCTGCTGCAGAGAAGGTCTCTTTGGACTAGGAAGCACAAGAGTGGTCACAGGTGTCCCCAGAGAGCCTTACAATGGGCAGGAGTAGCTGGTCTTGGATGACGTCTGCAGCTTCTAACACATCCAGTCGGTGATTTGACTTGAGTCTCTGGGACAGGTACAAGAGAAAAATAGGGCCTCAAAGATGGCACCAAAGGTGGCATCCTACCCACACCCCAATCTTTCTCCAAAGATAACAGACTACACTGTGGCTGTGAGGGGACTCCCTAATAAGAGCTGTGGACTCCCAGCTTCAAAGTCCTTCTAAGGCAAACTGTCAATGCTTTTTATGTTTCTCAAAACAATGGGGGAGTTATGATCCGTGCATCTTTCCAGTGACTAAAGACAGTGTGATGCCTGATTGCTATGTGGCCCAGGAATAAAAGATCTCCTCACAGCCACAGATGCACACCCATCTGCAGACACCCAGCTTTGACCTCCTGTAGAGCTGCATGGATGGACTGAGGGGTGGGTGGGTGGGTGGGTGGATGGATGGACGGACGGATGGGTGGATGGATGGATGGATAGATGGATGAGTGGATGATGGATGGATGGATGATGGATTGAGGGATGGATGGATGGATGAGTGGATGGATGGACAGACAGATGGAGCTGAAGTCGTGCTCCAACAGCAGCTGGCATTGTCTTCCAAGCACACTGTGGCACTCCTCCTGTTGCAGGAAAGGTGGCTCACTGAGCCTCACTAACAGACTCTACTCTCCAGCTCTAGTCACAAAGACCAGCATCCTTTTGCTCCTTCTTCACCTTCTACCTCTTTCAGCAGACCTGTTCCCCCCCCAGTCAGCTGGTAACCTGCTTTCCTGCAGAGCCTGGCACCCCGGGAATCTTGCTTCTCTGCACTAGTTTTACCTTGCACACAGGTCTCCTCTTCCGAGATGGAGTTTCGTCTCGAAGCCTTTCCTCCACTCCACAGCATCCTGAGGCACAAGCAGTCTGCAACTCATCTCATCAGACACAGTCCTTCGTTTTCCAAGGGTTGATTAGTTATCTCAATAGACAGCAGGATCAGGCACTGAAACACAAACAGGAGGGGAGGTGTGTCTTCAGACCATGATCACTGCTTCATGTGGTGTGTACATGCATAATCAAATTCCATGTGGCAAACACAGCACGTGATTGTCCCTGGAGTCCAGCCATTGAGGGCTCATTGGCAGGTTCCGTGCTTCTGTTGACTGATACAGCATATGGAGACATGATCATCTCCAGTCATTGTCACAATGTAAGCTAATGAGAAGCAACACAAAATGGCTAAGGGCAGCCAGCTGCAGCAGTCAAGCACTTTGAACATCTTCATACTTATGGTCCAAACACAGTCAGCAGACAGAAACACTTCTCCAGCTTATCAAGTAGCCCCTGTCTCCAGAGTGGGAACTGGTCCTCGCCTTAAGCCTGAAAGAGTTTACTAAAATGACTTATTTAATCACATCGTAAATTGCTGCCTTGTGCTTGCTATTGCATTTGGATCCTAGACTCTAGGGGAAGGAGGCACCCAGAGTTAATGCTTTCTTGTGTTTATTACTGCAAAATTGTATTTGCCATGTCCATAGAAAATAATCAAACCCTGAGTTCAAGACACTTAACATGCAGAAGGGGTGAATGAGCTCTGCACCTGCTCTCATCTAATTTTCACAAGCATTCAACACTAAATCATCTGCCTCTTGTTCGTTTGATTCCTGGGAATCAGCCCTCAATGCCTGCTTCCCTCTGGAGTATGAGAATACTGAGTATCTGACCTTGCAAAGGGCTAAGGGTTTGGAACATGGTGATCCTGTCAATGTAGAGTCACCCAAAGGGTGCCAGAATGAAACAGATGGTTTCACTCTCTTAAGCCATCTTGATTACAACAGAGTGCATCTGCTCCAGCCCTTAGGTGACCTGGGCAGTTTATCAAAGTCATGATTCACTTACAAGATGCCAGACTCCAAATGTACAGAGCCAGGTCTGAAGAGGACATGAGATGGAGTTCCAGTCTCTGTGGCAACTCCAACAGCTTCCATCTTAGAGGCTTTACTTCCAGGCCACTAAAAGGTGACATGCCTTCCACAGCTTGTAAGAGGACAAGCAGGTAGGCAGTAGAGACTGTATTGCCAAGGATTACAGCTGCCCCAAGAAGAACAAGAATCCTACCCCCAAGAAGCCATGTCAATCAACGATTTGAAACTTGAACTATTGACATAGTAACAACCTCACAACCAAGTGTGGATGTGCTAAGTAAGAGAATTACAATTATCCTGATACTGTGTGGCTTTCAGCTTCATCAGGCTCAGTTGGTGACCCCCCACCTGCTGATTACTCTGTGGCTTATGGAGCACACATCCAATGCCCTCCAGTAGTCCAAAACAACAGAGAAGGAAGGGGCTGGCGTGCTGTCACTGAACTAAAAACAAAGCGGGAAGACTAAGTGGGCCTGGCTTGGTAATTGGACCCTTGTAATAGCTCTGAAAAGTCAAGAGCAGCAACTTTCTGTAATAGCATCTCTACTTCCGCCCAGACATCAAAAGATCTCAATGCAAAAGTCAGGTTTGTCCGGCAGTGGTGGTGCACACCTTTCCCCGCACTCGGGAGGCAGGGGCACGCAGACCTTCCAGTTTTAAGACAGCCTGGCTCCAGTTTCAGGACAGCTAGGACTATACAGAGAAACCCTTTCTTGGAGAAACAAAACCAAGTCTTGTTTGCACATCAGAGAAAACTTACAGAACAGTATGGTGTGACCTGAAAGATGGTGAGAGAGCCTCCACATTTTTACCTGTGATGGAGGGAACAGGGACCTTGGATGCAACAGGAAGCTAGACAAGGAGCACTTAACATATATTTCTGAATGCATACATTGGGTTAGCATCCCATAGATCTAGATGCACATGTAAACTGGACTTTAAGCACCCATTTCCTTTCCATCCAAGGCTTATGGAATGCCATGTGGGTGTGATATCCTGGGGTCCCTTGTCATTCACCTGTTCACCACTAGCATTGTAATAGGGAGGCATCTTTTTTTATATCATTTTTTATTTTAATTTTAAATAGCTTGTTTTACATGTCAATCCCAGTTCCCTCTCCTTCCCCTCCTCCCGCACTCCCCTTCCCCCCCTCCCTCCCACCCTATTGCCAAATCCTTCCCCATAGGGGATATCTAGAGTCTGTCATTTTACTCTTGGTAGGGTCCAGGCACTCCCCTAAGAGTCCAGGCTGAGACAGCATCTCTCTTTGTGCTATAGGCACACGAAGACAGTTTGTATACCAGGGATAGACACTGATCCACAGCTCAGGGCTCCATAGGTTGCCCAGGCCTTCTCACTGACACTCACATTTGGGGGGGTCCAGATCAGTCCCATGCTGGCCTCCCCACTGTCGGTCTGGGGTCCAAGAGCTCTCCCCTGTTCAGATCAGCTGTCTCTGCTGGTTTTGCCAGCCCATTCTTTGCCAATTTGCTCATCACTCCTCTTTCTCTGTCACTGGGTTCCTTGGGTTCAGTTCAGTGATTAATCGTGTGTTTGCCTCTGCTTCCATCAGTCACAGGATGAAGGCTCCCGGATGGTTATAGACATCAAGTTCATTATCAGGGATGGGCATTCGAGGTGGTCCCTCCACTATTGCTTAGCTTGCCAATTGGTGTTATCCCTTTAGATCACTCGAGGTCACTCTGGTGACTGATCTGTCTTATAGGGAGGCTTCTTACTCCTCCTCTCCTTCCACTATCAAATGAGATGCATAATTTGTCAGTAGCATGTGTGATGTTTCAGTCAGGGGTGCAGGGAATGATACACAAGGGGAACCGTTTTAAGGCCATCTCCAGTTGGGATGGAACAGTTCCAAGAATGATTCTGTCTCTTTCAAGCCAAGCATGGCAACCTGTCCTCCCCTAGCGTGAGTGGAACGTCTAATCCTTCAAGCTCCCTATGACTCTGTGGGCAGAGAACACTGATTGTCTAAAAGCCCCTCAGAGTAATTCTCAGTAATTCCTGCTGCAATTAATTCCAGAAGCAGCTTTCAGGGGTGGCAGTGGCGAGATGAGTCATGAAAATAATTTGTAGGCATAAAATTAAT